TATGCTATGTTGGATTGTCTATAAGTGTTGCTTATTATCATTCAATTGTTTTTCTGTGTGTGGATACTGTAGGTAAACTAATCTGTACTGGCTCTGATGATGCGAGTTTGATTGTATGGAACCCAAAGACATGCGAAAGCATTCATGTGGTTAAAGGTATGCAAAACTCACTCCCCTCTTTCGGTTTACATGTTACTGTTGTGACTGGTGTGAAACGCTAACCTCTGGTTTATTGTAGGTCATCCTTATCATACGGAAGGGTTGACATGTTTGGACATTAACTCGAACTCAAGCCTCGCTATCAGTGGCTCGAAAGATGGTTCTCTTCACATTGTGAATGTAGTCACCGGAAAGGTTTGTCCTACTGTCTCACATACTTCTGTTACTAAGCTTTTTTGTAGGGTTGGTTTTTGATCTTATATTATCTCGATTAGCAAGTGTTATTGCTTATTTCTATACAAAATGCTTTTCAGTTTAGGACATGCGATATGAAATGTTTTATATCCCGAAAGAAATCTATTTAAATCGTCTTTGTGCTTCTGACTTGTGCATTATTATCGTTCCAACAGGTTGTGGGCTCTCTCACTTCTCACACAGATTCAGTCGAATGTGTGAAGTTTTCACCAAGCTCAGCTACCATTCCTTTGGCTGCAACAGGTGGAATGGACAAGAAGCTTATAATCTGGGATCTGCAACATTCAACTCCTAGGTTCATCTGCGAACATGCGGTACAAACCTCGTAGTTTCTCTAGTGAGATAGAACCAAAACAGAGACCGAAATTTAAACAACAAGCTATTCTTCTCTCTTTTGTAATTACAGGAAGGTGTGACATGCCTGACTTGGATAGGAGACTCCAAGTACTTAGCCACGGGATGTGCAGATGGTACAGTGAGCGTTTGGGACAGCTTATTAGGAAACTGCGTCCATACCTTCCACGGTCACCAGGATGCGGTCCATGCTATCTCAGTCTCTACCAACGCGGACTTCATTGTTTCGGTCTCCGTAGACAACACTGCTCGTGTCTATGAGACATCTGAGTTCCAAAACAAAATGTCTTAGGCAAGTGATAACACGTCTCGTATTGGTTCGGATATGTGTGGGTGTATCTATGTTCGTTGTGTCCTTTTATTTGAGGGAATTTTTGGTCAAATTTTTTATTAATGTCAAAATTTAATACGATATGTATGTACACGGCGTAGTTGATTCAAAATCAAAAGCTTTAGTCTTTCTTTGTCTCTCTGATTTCATTTTGCATAACTATGCAAACACAATCAACCGGCAATACAGACGGTCTAAACTCCTGCGGGGTTTTTTGCCTAATGGAAATTGAACCTGCACTTAGCCTCATGTCCAACTATCACTAGGCCGCATGCTTGTGGGTGAACAAAGTGATTTGTAACAAGAAGTGTTTAATTTTTTGAAAATTAGCTTATTAATTGAAATTTAGTGTATTAAATAGGATATATAATCTTTTAAATCAATTAATGTGAGAAAGGGTTAAAAAGCCGGGCTATGTGGAAGTAAATGAGAATGAATTATGTGGAACAAAGAGTGATCAGGACATGATAGTCTTCATTAAAAAGCAATGTCTCACGCTTGATGGCATGTAGGACTTGAAAGAAAGTTGATGATGATGATGTTGAGTTGTTACATATTTTAAATTAAATGTACATTTCCGTAAGTTTATATTACATACTAGAATCATCTATACTTATAATTGTGAGGTCAAAAATCATACGTGTCGCTCCCACARCGAGTTTAAGATTTGACTTRCCGATATTACCCTTAATGAATTGATTTATTTACAACCTTGCCATCGAGTGAATTTTTTTTCCTTTAAATACTCTAAGCAATAAAGCAATAATTTTAGTGTTAATCCAATATTTTACGTGACCCATTAGCAAAAGTCAGTTACAAAAAAGTGAATTTTTTTTCCTTTAAATACTCTAAGCAATAAAGCAATAATTTTAGTGTTAATCCAATATTTTACGTGGCCCATTAGCAAAAGTCAGTTACAAAAAAACCCTAACGTGATTCTAGAATTTCTTATATATATCGAAATTATCAGGCAGCCGATTTTAGTGTTCTTAGATATTTCTAGATCTATGAACTGCCTAGGGTTTTGCTTTAATATGAAATAAGTATAGAAATATACTAATAACTT